ATGTGTCATAACCGCTGCTTCACCCAGCTAACGGACCTGCAGGGACAGCTTTGAGCTTTAAATCGCTGCACTCCTCCAGTCCATCATGATCACTTCAGATCTCTTGTCCCTCCTAGCTACTCCCCTCCTGATGCTGAAGCTGATGTTCTGCACGTTTTCCTCCGTGGGCTGCTGTCTCGTGGCACTGTACCTGGGGAAGAGATCCTTGGGCACTTTCTCCAGCTGAAGGTTGATACCTGAGCGTCTTTTCCTGTTCCTCACCATTGCAGAGCATTTTCCAGCCTGGAGAAGTCATGCAGTCCCCTGCTGCATCCCTGATGTTTCTGTTCCCGCAGATCCAGAGGAACATACTGAGGCACTCCTCAGAAGGAGCTTGGATATTCTTCTTTGCACCGGGAGAAAAAAAGCGGAGGGAAGAGAGAAGAAATCACTCCAGGAGAGACAGTACAAACTGCAGAAATAGCTTCTCCTGGATTCCTGTGCTTGAGTATGTGTGTCAGCTGATGAGTTGGTCACTCATTGCACCCACTTTTGTTTGAAAGCAGAAAGAGGACAAGGCAGATGTAACTGACTATTTATTGTACAGAAGGCAATTGCAAGATAGAATCATAGAATCGTAGAACAGTTAGGGTTGGAAGGGACCTCAAAGATCATCTAGTTCTAACCCCTCTGCCACGAGCAGGGAAACCCTCCACTACACCAGGTTGCCCAAAGCCTCATCCAACCTGGCCTTGAACACTTCCAGGGATGGGGCATCTACAACTTCTCTGGGCAACCTGTTCCAGTACCTCACCACCCTCTGAGTGAAAAATTTCTTCCTTATATCTAATCTAAATCTAAAGATGATCTGTGCTCTCCTGACAGAAATAGGTTGTGAGTTTTGGCCCTTTGCTGTTGATCCTGGAAGCCCCTACTCCACACGTGGGAGTTGCTTCTCTTGTGCCATGTTCCCCCGTGACGCAGGAGCAGCACAGTGGTGCAGGCTGGCCCCAGCTCCCATACCTGTAGCCCACTGGCCATGTTCCACCTCCCCTGGGCCTGGTAACATGCAAGGCTTTGAGGAGTGACTTCATGCCCCATGAGGACTGAATCCTTGCATTTTCAGACTACGGACATTCGTATGGAGGTGTAGAGGAGCACGCCGATTTGGGCAGCCCTACAGCGTAGGCACGGTACAAGCTGTTCCAGCTGTTGGTGACACCAGACAGATAAACTCTGGTATTCAGGTGTCTTACAGGTGTGTTTGCAGTCTTGGATCGGTGCTGGCATCCCTTGCTCAGACAGATGCTTTGTAAACACCCAAGGGCACTAACATTACACATGGACTTTCTGTGAATTAGCCTTACGTAGGTAGTTGGAGGTGAATTGATCATTTATTTTTCCTGCTGCTATTAAGGATGCACTCTGTGTCTGACAGAAAATGGTGTATGTGCTTCCTCCAGCCATGGTTGCTGAGGCAGACTGGGACTGTTTCATGGTAGCTCCGGAAAAATAAGCTTTTATTCTTTCCAAATTACTTCATAAGAAGAGGCATCAGGTTTCTCATGGCCCTGTAATCATGTCAGGGCTGAGGCAGAAAGCAGAAGTTGCATTTGTCTGATGCCCTTGCACCCAGAAAATATGTCCTTTGCCAGAGCATGTGGCTGCTTCACCACAAAAAGAGAGGGGTTCAGGGCAAGCTTTCTCCCTGAAAGCCAGAGCAGAACTTTGGCTGTTTATTATGGTGCTTCTTCCCTTCCAGCCAATGTGGCCACATTTAAATGCATTGCTTAGCACTGTAAATCCCACCCCGGAACCACTCTTGAGCATGGTCCTGCAGTTTTCTTCAGTCAAAACATGTTTACATGCTGATTTACTGAGATCACGGCAACCACACCACCCCATCTGCACCCTGCCTAGCCAAATTATAACGCTGCCTTCTGGCGGGTTGAACATCTGACATGCTTTAACATAAAGAGGCAGCCAGCCAGGCAGTGGGCAGTGCTGCAGGCTGCCTAGGAGAGCGGGGGGGTTTGCATGGCCAGTGCTCTGCCCAGTGTCCCGGGCCTGGGGATACCAGATAGCCCCCCTCCTGGGGCAACGAGCTGTTCCTCTGATCGCTGGCAGTTGGCTGTGCTGGAGGTGAACGGGAACACTTCTGAGGCTCCCCAGAAAGGCTTTTTACTGGTCTTCTGGATGCCACTCCACTGCTGCACTGCAGGCTGTCTAGATAACCCTGCAGCATGTCACTTCCTAGGCAGAAATCCGGAAGAGCCTTGCTGAGGTGGTTTTGAGGCAGAGAGCGTCCACAGATGTCTTGCAGTCTCACTTGCTGGAAACATCCCTCTTTTTCTCCTGCATCTCCACCAGAGTGGCATGGTCTTCCTTTCCTCCATCCCACATCCACTGCAGGGATGAGAACCCATTTCATACATTGCACAACACTGACCAAAAGACTCTCCCTCTTGCAACAAAGGCATCATGATGTTTCTGCAACATCAGCAATGATTCCGGCTTACTTGAAATTTCAGGAGCTCCAGGGTGAGGCTAAAGCTATTTTTCATTTCAACATGATAGTCTCTGCTGCCCAGGGGCTCCAAAACCCCAGGTGCACATTGAAAACATCACTCCATCCGTTTCAGCAATGTGTCAGAAAGAAGTGTTTCATTCTTACCTTGGGCTGTGTCAAAATCATGGGCTGACCAAAATATTTGGCTGCAAATTGCTTAGCACCTGTAGTCTTCAGAGACACTCAGAGCAGGTTAACTCTCCTGGGAGGGCTGTCCTTGAAACAAAGTGATGTATTGTGCTGTTAAAAGAAAGTTATCTGAGACATGGGGTGAGACAACCTGTTTGGAAAGAGAAATAAGAAGGAGAGGCCATGTGGTGTCCAAGTGGAGGTCCCTTGCTCTACTCCAACAATTCCTCACACTGGATGTGCCCTCTGCATGACTATCCGTGAGCAGAGCCAGCGCTGTAGAGATAGGAGAGAGGATTTTTTTAACCATGTGAAGGCTAATTTCCTGGACTAGGCAGTGGAAGCCTCTTTACTCCATCTGTACTGGGTTGAAGATCGTGGTTAATCACACTTCATTACAAGCTGAAGCAAAGCAGCACCAAGGAGTTTGCAACCAGCTGGTCGGCAAAGTGGAGAGGCCATAGAGGGAGGAAGTGTGTTTCATAAATGTGGGTAAGGAGTATATATTATGAGCGTGCTGGGAATAAAAACAAGCTTGTACCAGTGAATAGTGCGCCTCAAATTTCAGACCAGTTCCTGTGGGCCCACTTAAAGCTCATTCCAGTTTTTGAGAAGTTACTAGTTCCAGCAATATCCCCAATGTTTTGGAGCAAGGAATGTTGCCAGACCCTCTAGAGCCATGCCTCTAGAAATGTGATGGAATTATTAAGTGCATTTAGTGTTCCTGTTTATCGTTAGAGGCGTGATGTCTCAGCTTGTCTGCTGAGTTACTTCTTCTCATGCAACGCTCATAAATTCAAAAAAGGGAGGAAAAATGGCCAGAGCTCTTCTTTTTATACTGGGCAGGGGTTGTTCGAGCCACTTAGTCTTGGTCACACCTGGCTGCTATGCTGCCCCTCACTGACATCTATGCAGAAGTCTTACTAGCACCATGCTGATGGATGGGCTGTCTGGGAAGGGAAGCGTGATACAGCCTTCAGAGACCCTCATTAGAATGAAGCGGAAAACTTTTGACATTTTTGATGTCTTTTTCTAATAAAATGTAAACTTTTGACTTGGTTTGGAGCCAGAATGACAAAACAAAACAACTTTTTTATTTACATTTCACATTGCTGGGGGAGGGGAGCATTCAGCTGAAAACTAGTGTGTTTCAGCCACAGGGAAAATTGCCTTCCTACTGCCTCTCCTTTTTTCTTGGAACAAATAGACACATAGTAAAAATGTGAGCCAGCTTCTTTTTTTGCTAATGCCATAAAATAGGGAGCAAAGCCGGCTTCCCCTCATTTTCCTTTACTTCTTTATTCTATCCTGTCTTTGCCAATTGGAAACAGAATGCAGAGAGTTACTTTGTCTCTGGAAACAGCTCTTGCAGGGCTTAACTGTGTTTTCAATGCTTTCCAAATAGAAGAGCTTTTTGGAACCTACATGGTCCTCCTGAAGTTTTAGGGGGAAGGTCTGAGAAAATAAATTCATGTTTTCTTCTGTCAAGCTTGTTTGGTGAGGGGAAGAACTGGTGAGAAATATTCACTGAGGATATTTCATTGGCAATTCCTCTGCTGACTAATCAATATAAGGGACATTATACGCAAATGCAAATAAAAAAGCTAAAACTCCCTGCGCTTTTTTCCTATGTTTTCTTCTCCAACACTAATGTCAGCCTTCCCCTCTTATGAACAGCCAATCCTTCTGTAAGTGCTTTGTTATCTGCATAGTGTAGGAGCAGAGGTGGTAGAAGGTATATGTCCTTCTTGTGACACTGTTCAAAGCAAACACAGTTTCTCAGTTCAGGAGAAGAGATCTTTCATTAGTGACACTATAGATGCAGATACTGTTTCTCTAAATCAGTAGCAGAAAGACAAACAATCAAAATGTAGATCTGTAGTGAGAGAGCAAGAGAACAAGCTTCACTAGTGCTTCATCTGTGATGGTAAAGATCCTTGCTCAACATCAGTAGTTTCCAATGCTGTGCCATATGTTGCTCTCCTCCTTTTAGAGCATAAAGACTGAGTCTGAAATAAGATACAGCAAGGAATCATTGATTAGAGTTGTTGCTCTGGAAAAGATTAGGAGAGCATTTGGTTTTCAGTTTGAAAATAAAATGAAAAAGTCACAAGCCTTGAAGGAACTTTCCAATGTGGTTTTCATCTGGCTTGGCAGGTTTCTTCTGGAGAATAGAAAGCTGAAAGAAAATAGAAATTAGGAAAACATTCTGTGACCCGGATAGAAATTCTTCAGCAGAAAGGGAAATGCAGAAGCAAAACAATATGTAATGAAAGCCAAAAATCTTCTTTAACCATATCTGTCTCTCTTGTTTCTTCTACAGGGCCAAATATTTCCAGGGGAAGAAGGTGAATGGAGAATTTGATATCCGAGTGGAACAGGTCAGTGACAACTGAATTTGGCTCTAAGAAATGTGTGTGGACAGGGCTGAAGTCTTAAAGACAGATAGTCTGTGGATGTTTCTTCTCTTGAAGAAAGGAACTAATGAGGAGTTTTAATATATGTCTATTTTATAGAATTATGGAAGCTATAAGTGAAAATATCTTATTGGGCCATCCCTTTGTCCTCTCTACCTTTCCAGAATAAGTCGCTATTTCACCTTAAAATGAAATTTCCTGTTCTGGTGATAGGATTGTAATTTCTTCTGTTGGAAGACTACCTCACAGCTCTGTATATATGCCTGAAAAGGTGCAAAGCCAGTATTCCACAGTACATGTTGATGATGTTATGTTCCACATGTGAGCTGTCTTCTGACTTACCCTGATTTAAGACTATATCTTTTGGTGTATGAGACAGGAAAATTGGCAAGTAATTTTTTTGCAACTGTGATACTATGAGTGCATCATTTTCCTCTTTTTATTGGTATCATATTTGTTAGTACTGGCTGATATTAACAAGAACAATTCTCACTTGCATTTCCTTTTCAAAGTCTTTATTTTGATGGCTGCCTCAGTAAACGTCCTAAAAGAGAATAGAAAAAAGAAAAAAAAACTTCACACCTCTCACATAGAAGCATGGAATCAAATAATAATTCAGATTTGCTCTTCAAAACTCTGATCCAACCCACTCTGCTGCTCAAAGCAGGGTCATCTTCAAAGCTAGACCTGGTACTCTTCAAAATGACCTGTTAATACTTTCCTAAACCTCCAGCCTTTGCATTTCCCCTCATAGTCCTTCTCCTCAAAGGTTATTGCACTTGAGGTCCTTATAAAGGGACTATCCTCAAATGATTGGTGAGTGGAGAAGGGCAGAAACGGACTCTCGATCCCTGATGCGTTAAGCCCAGTAATGACCCTCGTCATTGTCACTAGGTAGCTTATCGCATTTCCCCAAGGACTCTTTCAGGGAGACCTTCCCAGTCTGTCTCTAGAAATCCTTCACATAGGCTGAATGTCCATGTTTGAGACAAGGCACCAAATTGCTCTAAGCAAAGACCATAAAAGGCTGGTGTGACTCTGCTGGTGAGGACCATTGCCAGGGCCCTTGCAGCCACCTTTAAATACTCAGCATAGTGACTGCAGCATTGCCCAAGGGAAAGAAGCGCATGGTGGGTAGGAGAGTTGAGGAACAAAGGACACAGGCCCCGGCTGCTTCCCCTCACCCCCTCCCTGCCCCTCAAATCAGGCAACCAAGCTGCCATGTAGTGGGACAGGGATCTGCTCACAACTTCCCCAGACCTCGGAAGCAGAAGGGATGATCGCTTCCCCAGCTGGATCCACTGTCTATCAAGGGAAACACAGAAGCTGCATTGTCACGGGCAGTCCTCGAGTCTGACCTCAGGCCCCTCTGCATATCGCTGAGGCCAAGAGAGGGGCAGTTCTTTCTTCAAACTCTGGCTTTTTGTCCCCTTCTTTTTTTGCCCATCCATCCTTGCTCAGAATTTCTTGATGTTTAATTTCCATTCATTACTCCTACCCTGGTTATCTGAAGCCTTTGTTGCTTCTTCATCCTCTCCCTCAAGCACAATCCAGGAGCTGAAACTGTTGTGGAACAGGTCTCCTGAGGCTGACTGCAGACCCTCTTGACTTGAAAAATGAATGTTCTTACACAGTTTCCTTATGAAAAAAAAAAAAAAAAGGCAGAGAATAACTGAATACCAGCCTGGTTCACACCACACATCTCTTTGAGTTCCCAGCTCACCCGTCTTCACTACTATAACTATTCCATGAACAGCACACAGACTGTGCCATGGTGCACAAGCTCTGGCCTGGCCATTTGGTTTGAATAAACTCTGCATCAGATCAAGGTTTGACTCTCGGGCACCTCTTGAACCACCTGGTCTGCTCCGTAACTTCATTTAGTTTTTCAGTTTTCCAATTGATCCTGCTTCAAATAACCACACATTATTGACTCAGCCAGAAATATAGTTTAGCTTAGGAGGTTTTTTTACATTTTACGGGAAAAAAACCCCTTTTGATCTGTAAAGCTAAGTAACAAAAAAGTTTGAATAGCAGAAGGCAGTAAAAGGAAATATCCAAATGATAAATACTCTTGAAAAACCACATGGGGAAAAACAAACTGCCCTATTTTGTCTGACCATGCTAATTTTTTTGCCATTCTTCCAGATGCTCTGTAGTTTCTTTAAACTGAAGGAAGAGTTTGCCTTGTTAACTTTTCTCTTCCTCTTTAATCTCTATCTCTATTGCATCTTAATTCTTTCTTAGCAAGCCATTTCAGCAATCTTTGGGGGAAGCAGAGCAGGATAGTAGGTGATATATTTTTTTAAAGTCATGACATCACTTATTTGTAATGGAGCAGGAGTGCTGAAAGCAGGGCTGTCTCTCCCTCTCTCAGCAGCGGGAAGTCAGTTATCTAATCTGGTTATACACCCCTACCAGCTCTCTGAGCTGCCTCTCCCCCTTGGCTGTCGTCCGAGGAATGCAAGACGTATGGGATCATGCTGTCTCACTCAGTCTATCCCCCACACCCAACGCTGTGGAAGGCATTGGCTGATTTCAGCCGAATTGGAGAAACAGGCAGAGGTTTCAAGATACTACATTTCTACAAGAGGTAAATTCAGTTCCTATTTGACACTGGATAATCTGCAGGGAAGAAACTATTAAATGCCATCCTGCTTCTCAGGGAGCTGCTTCTGTAAGTCTCAGCTTGTACGAAAACAGGATTTATGGACTCTCAAAGAAAGTTTTCTGGTTCTTTAGCACAGAAATTAATTGCAAGACCTTGATACCACCCCCGAGCCCTTGTTCTTCAACTAGGTCCATTGCCACTAGCAGGAGACAAGAGGCACTGTGGGCACCTCCTGGAGCCAGTGAATAGGAGAGAGAATTGTCATTGCATCCTCTCCATCCTCTGCTGTCTCCTGTCACTCATTAAAAGGACTGTGAGTCTTGACTTTGTTTCCACCTTTGTTTCTTCTCTTCTAATCTTCAGCGTAACACCCAAAACGTATTTATTAATATGTGCTTTAGAGGCTGCAGGATTTATTATTGCCCACCCTTGACTGAAACCCAGGCACGCCACACCATTGTCTCCTCTCTGTTGGCTGCAGAGGCACGAGGCTGAGTGAGGTCTGGGGTGGTGCGAAGCAAATGCAGGTGCTTTCCTGAATCAGGGCCTCTTTTTCTTTGGAGGTAGTTTGGATTATATTTTGATTATTTGGATGTTTTTCCACTACAAGTCTTTCTGTAGCAATGATAGTCAGTTGTAAGACTGAACAAAACACTGATCAAAAAGTGAAAATCTGTTTGACCTATTCCCATTAAAACCCTGATGGTTTGAGTTTTACTCAGTGTGAGTAAACCCCTAAGCTTTAAGGAGCAGCTGAGTCTAAAAATACAATCTCTACTTTACGCTAAAACTAAGGTTCTTTTAGATTTTTATCCACATTGTTGCTTTTACTTGCTTTGTGATTTCTAGCTTTGAGAACTACAGTGTCTACATCTCCAGTTCTTTTCTTTAGAAATACAAAAGCTAGAAAAATTATTTTAGAAATGAAAAGTGTAAGTTTGATTAAACAAAATGGCTCTAAGGCTAGCCTAAGCTTAAAGAAGAATCTTAAAGTGCCACAGGAGTTGAACACACTGCTTTTAGTCTCTCCTGAAATTAATTTTCCTTTTATCTTCTCAGTTCTCTCTCACTGGCCAGAGGACAGTAGGCATTAGGAAACACAGTATATTCAGGAAGAGGAGGAATTGTACCATAAGCCTTATGCTCTGTCAATCATTTTCCATGAGTAGAGACAACTGGTGGTAATTCATCACCTCCTTCCCCACCCTCTCTGCCCTGTCCCAGGGAAAACCAAGCCTTGCATGCTCTAAGGATGTCACACAACTCTGAGCTTTCCATATGGATCATAACACCCCAGGTGTGGGTCTCCTTGGGCGTTAGGCATGCCCAATGCACAGGGGGGATGCCACATGGACGTGCATCACCAGCACAACCAGGTACCAGCAGAAATAGGCAGGAGAGCTGGGCTGAGACCCGGACAACTACAGACCATGACTCTGTGGGCAATGGCCAGATGAGTGGGACACCTCTGACTTATGAGAGGGGACTGAAAGAGTTGACTTTGTTTATCCTGCCAAAACAGAAGCTAAAGGAGACACGGCTGCTTTTAATAAATACAATGGTTTAAGAAAAGGTTTCGTGATGTGGTGCCTGGGGTAGCAAAGGGTTAGACTCCATGGCTCTGGTGAGCTTTTCCAACGAAATCGACAAGAGCACAGGAGACAGAGAGGAGAGCACAGACCTAGCAGGCAAGAGCAAGCAGCACTTCTTAGAGACAATCCGCCACCTTCAGGGTACCTTTCCTTCAGGTATTTCCTAAAGGCATTTTAATATATTCAGAGACATCTTTCCTGGCATTGACTAATTGATGGTGGAGAAGGGTGAAAACGGTGAAGGAGGATTGGTGAGGCCAAAAGGTTCATCTAAATTTTTATTCCTGTTGTTTGTCCACCCGTCTTCTTCCCACCATTTCCTGCTGTGATGAGGTGGGTCTGTCTGTCCGTCTGACATGCATTCTTCTCGCACAGCTCATTCACTTGTTCCCGCTGCCTGATTTATTTTCAGGGAATGATTATTCAGTGAACTCCTATGTACATGCTTCTGGAAAAGTCTTGTGGTATAGATTATGACTCCATTGGCAGTGTTGTCAGGAAAAAAGTTGTACTTGGCGCTCACAGAAGATAATTGTAATACAAATCATGAATTCCAGCTCCATTGTACTTCCCGTCCTAAAGAAATATTTTCTTGTGCAGCATAAAGTGGTCCTTTCAAAGGGTAGAGGCTGATAGGCCTGTGTATGATGAGAAGAAAATTAGCCTCTCATCAAATAACCGTATAATTTTTATTCATTATATGCTTAAGTTTTGGGTTTTTTTTTTCCAACCGAAGGCCAGAAAGCAGTTCAAGAACAGCA